CCCAGGTGCCCCACTTTTATGTAAATTTTAAAAATACATAAACTCAAACAAAAAAATAATTTAGAAGATGGATCTAATACAATACTCCTTCTAGTACCTCTGCCCTAACTTATGTTGCTCAAAATTATAGCCAGTCTGGAAAAATAGTTTATGTGTTTAAAATTTCTCTACACTGAAAAAGAAATTTGTTGTGCTATTCTTTTCACTGGTAGCTATGTTCCTGGCATGTTTTATAATTGCATAATAATTTTTTTTCTGCTGACAAGAGGAACAATGAAACATCTGGTACTGACATACTACATTCATTTTATAGGCATTTTTAAAAACCTACTATGGGCCAGTCATTGTGCTAGATGCAGATATAAAGAAATAAAGCATACATGGTATGTGACCCAAAGAATCTTACATATAAATGAATAATGGCGATGAAGCAGTACAGGCATTATGTGTGTCTGTGTGTAGTGTATCATTGTACATGATGGATGGGTTGGCTAATACCTAGGGTACACGGAAAAGGAAGAAATTAGAAAAATCTTCATAAAAGAGGCAGTGTTAAAACTGGGTCTTAAAGACAAGTAAGTGCTTTAGGTGGACAAAAGGAGAAAAAGATATTCAGGGCAGGTGTAATGGCATGAGCAAAGGACATGGAGCTATAGAACAGCCTAGGCTATTAGTGGAACAGAAAATGATTCACAATAGCTGAATCCAAGATGGGAAGTGGCCACAGTGAGAAAAGCTGCTAGAGAGGCAGAGGTTAGTTTTTTGAGGGACTCATAAGCCACTGTGCTAAGAACCTTCACACAATCCCATGGAAATAGGTTGGGAGTTCTTGGCCATTTGTCTACACTTGTGAATATCTAACTTGTTAAACTATCACATACAAAGCAAGGTACATTGAAGTAGGTCACTCCATTCCCATAAGAAGGTTGTGTTCATTATAACAAGGGAATGAGAGAGTCTGGAATGTTCTGACATTTTTGTATCTTACATTATGCCATGAGAAATATTTGCATTCTTTCTACCTTGTAATATCACTGTATGAGATTGGAGGAGACTTGACATTCAATGTGCCAAATGAGAACATTCAAATTGTAATTGAATGTTATCACTGTCAACTATCTTGCAGTCACTCCAGTAAGAGAAACAGTGGCTCAATTAGGACCACAATGCTTTATCTTGGGTGCACCTCTTTTTTGTGTGCCTCTCATAGATTAGGGTTACATGGGGTCAAAAATCTCTGCTCACATCTTTGAAAGTGTTCAGCAACAAAGGAGAGAAACCCTGCAAACAGAAGGTGAAAGAATATGTGGAGGAAATAGATATCAGTTACTTTAGATTATCTTGAGTAAAAATAAAAGATCTTTGATGAAAAGATACTTTGGATTTATATGTGTCTCAGGATTCTGATCTTTTATTTATTCTGGTATAATAAACATATAAAGAGAATGAAAGACAAGTTGCAGACTAGGAAAAATATTTCAAAAGACATACCTGACAAAGGACAAATGTTCAAAGAACTCCTAAAGCTCAATGGTAAGAAAATGAACAATCCAATTTATTCTTTAAGTAGGCTCCACACTGGGCCCAATGAGGAGCTTGAACTCACAACCCTGAGATCAAGTCCTGAGCTGAGATCAAGAGTCTGCATTAACTGAATATGAATGAATAATCCAATTTAAAAAATGTACAAAAGATCTGAATAGACACCTCACCAAAGATAATATACAGGTAGAAAATAAACATAGGAAAAGATGTTCAACTCCATACATCCCCAGGGACTTGCAAGTTAAAATAAGGAGACAGCCACTGCATACCTACTAGAATGGTGAAAATCCAAAAGGCAGACAATACCAAATGCTGGCAACGATGCAGAACAACAGAAACTCTTAGGCATTACTGTTGGAAATGCAAAATGGTACAGTCACTTTGGAAGACAGTTTGGCAGTTTCTTACAAAACTAAATACACTCTTACCATATGATCTGAAATCACAGTCCTTGGTGTTTACCCAAATGCGTTAAAAATGTATGTCCACATAAAAACCTGCATATGAATGTTTATAGCAGCTTTTCCCATAGTTGCCAAAATTGAGAAGCAACCAAGATGTCATTTAATTAGTAAATGGATTAATAAATAATGGTATATCCAGAAAACAAAATATTATTCAATAGTTAAAAGAAATTAGCTATCAAATCATGAAAAGACACAGAGAAACCTTAAATGTATATTGCTAAGTTAAAGAAGCCAATCTGAAAAGCCTACCTACTGTATGATTCCAACTATATAACATTCAGGAAAAGGCAAAACTATAGCAGCAGTAAAAATTTCTGTGGTTTCCAGGGGTTAGGGGAGAGGAAGGGATGAGCAAGTAAAGCACAGGGGATTTCTAGGGCAGTGAAATTATTCTGTATGATACTATAATGGTGGATACATGTCATTACACATTTGTCCCATCCCATGGAACACCAACCAGATGGTAGGTTGTGGGACTTCTCAGCCTCCACAACCATATGAGCTGATTCCTCATAATAAATACATCTATTACCCTTGTAATCACAGAAAGAAAAATACAAGCAGGAATAAATAGTAGTTCAACTACTGGATGATGCCATCTAGTGGAAAATGGATTTTAACTTTCCCTGGATCAGACTCCCAAATTTCAATGCCCCTCAAATTTGGTATTTATGGGAATTTATTTAAATATATATTCTAGACTCTAATCTGCCCGAAGATTATTAACTCACTTAATATATATGATAGCCAAAGAGCTGTGTGTCAGTATTATCCATATTGGAAAACATAAAAATTCTATGTCAGTTAAAATTAAGGTGCCCAGTGGTACATTGTGCTTTCCCTTTTTCACCAGATTTTCACCAACTTCACCACAACAAGTCATTTTGCAGCTGCTGGCATTTTTAAATGTACAGTGTGCACCAGCCCCTGTGCTAACTGCTTCACTTGTATTATTTTATTTCATCTTCCCAACAACTCTAGTAAGGTGGGTACTATTATTATACTACCTTAGAGATGAGAAGATTAGGGCAAAGAGTTTAAGTAACCTCTCCAAGATCACACAGCTCTACACTAGCTGAACCCAGGACCCATCACATAATTACACATGTGCACAGTGCTCTGTGATGGGAAAGATGATAGTCATGCCAACAGTAAAAAAGGACTAATGACTTTACAATTCTATATTGCCATCTACATTGAGCTTAGTATATATACTTCATGCAGAAATGAGTTATACTCCTTAATTACTAAGGGCTATTTAAGGACATTGTATAAATTAATATTTACATGGTTTGGACTAATACATTACACACTCAGATGTTCCTAAATATTGATTGTTGATTTTTGGTGTTACAAATTTGAAGTAAATGAAAGTAAACTGACCTGCTTTGAACCTTCTGTGTGGAGGCAAACTGAAACTAATTTATTTATAACTGGTTAGACAACCCAGGTGATACCAATCAGTCAGCCAGTCAGGCCAAACTGAGGGTAATGAAACTGGTCTCAAATAAAGTTGCCTGCCTCTGCCCCACAAGGGCTAAGACCCCAGGGCTGCCCAGCCTGCTTGGGTCCACTCAGTGCTGGCAGAAGTCAAGGCTTGCTTCCTCACAGCTTGATGAAATATAGTTAAAATATATCTTTCTTATAGTCCACTCCTTCTGTAGGGCCCAGAGCATCAACTAACTACAACTAAAATATTAATTCCTGCTACTGCCTTAGTAGGAAATACTGTGAAAGCAAACATAGGAACTTTACAATGGTCCCTCTTGAGGCTACCTCCCTGAAAACTGCTTGATGCTGAAGTCTTCTGAGCATTAGCGAACAAACAGCATCAAATAATGTAGTGGATTTTTAAAAATAGAGTAAATAAACAGTATAAAAATTTCTCAATTCATTTTCACACTGCTGAGTGGAAGGGAAATTTGCAAATATAATCTTGTATTTGTATCGGTGTACACCCCTCCCTCTCCTACCTCCCAAGACCTCAAAGTGTAAAATGATAAAATCCAATGATACAAAAAAGGTTCAAGTCAATATGCAGCAAAACAAAAGGAAAAATTTTTTGACTAACAAAAGAATCTTCTAGCATACAGAACTGGAAAGAACAGAGGAAATAAAATTAACAGATACTATTAATTAAGCATTAAGTTATCTCACTTTTCTAAATGTTCTTTGCATGCATTATCCCATTTTAGTCCCCAGGAGGAGATTTCATGAGGTAGGTGCCATTATCTTAAGATAAAGAAACTGAGTAGTTAAGTCATTTGCTGGAGTCACACAGCTAGTAAACTATGGACCAGAAACCAAGCTCCCAGGGCCCAGAGCCCAAATCTACTACACTGTAAAAAGATCAAACCTGTTATCACTTCCTTAGGGCAAACTTGGGGTTGAAAAATCCATTGAATGGATCTCCCATTCAACCAACGGACATCCGCCTGATGACACTGTTTAGACTCCTTGCTGACTCCAAGCTCATTTATAGAAGTTAACTGGTTGTGCCTTATTATGCAGTTGAACAGTGAGTCCCACAGGGTAAGAATCTTGGATTAAGAGGCCTATGGGATTCTTTTCGGGTTCTAAACTTTTAATTTAATAAGACAAGAAAAAATAAAAGACAAACAAGGTCACACGGGCTATGGTAAAGATTTACATAAAATAAACCAATGCTTTAACATACCCAATATGACTGTGTTTGAAACCTCCTTTTGGAGATTACCACGTAAGGCCAAGTTTAACACTGTGTGACTTCTGAGGTCAGGCCACTGGCTGCCTGGAACCCCTTGTTTGAAAACTCAACTCACCCAATTTAAGCATTGGTTTTGTTTGTAATTTGTAAATACGGTGGAACAGTCACTAGAGTCCTCCGGCTACCAGCTGCCGGCCGTGCTCAGAACTACCGAACGGTGCGGCGGAAAAAGCGGTCGGATCGGGAGCGACCTCGGAACCAAAGCGCTGGCTCCTTTCGGCCCCGGGACTGCATTTCTACAGCACCAGGGGCGGAGTCTGGCAGGTGAGGGGCTCGCCGCGGAGATCGCTGACGCGGCCCGGGCTGCGGTGTGGTCGCTGGTTGCCAGACCATGCTGAGCGGAGCGCGCGCCTGGCTCCTCGCCTTATCGCTGCGGGGTACATGCACGCTGCCGTCCGCGGTCGCCCGTAGGTGCCTTCACGCGTCGGGGTCGTGGCGGTCCGCAGACAAGAGCGAGAAGACGGGGAACGCGCCCCGCGTCTTCGACCCGGCCCTGCTCGAGTTCCTGGTGTGCCCACTCTCCAAGAAGCCGCTCAGGTGAGATTCGGTGGTTGCGAGTTTCCTTTCGCGCCCTCCGGTGGCGGGGACCGGGTGGGATGGCCGTGTGGCCGTTCACAGCCACTGGGGCGCCCTTCAGGTCAGTCCGAGTATTTCCTGCTGCCATTTTCTGGATCCTGGCCGGCTCAGCTATCGCGCACCTCCCACCGAGGCGGGAAGGGCGGGGGGAGGCCGGAGGGGAGTCGAGTCCTAGGCCGCCCAAATCAAACCGCAGATCCACAGTGATGGATCGCAGCGTTTACTGGTTTCGCAATCGAATCGCCAGGGCACCTTTTTTAAATGCAGATTCCCGGGCACCACCCCTGGCCTACCCAGCTGGGCGGTCTGGGGGCTGGACCAGCAAGGTGTTTTCTTAAAAGGACCCTAACGGATTCTAATGTATAGCCAGGTTTTTGAGCTGTTGGGAGTCATGACCGGTCCAAGGCATTCAGATTTTTATTTATTTTTATTTTTATTTTTTTTTTCAACGTTTATTCATTTTTGGGACAGAGAGACAGAGCATGAATGGGGGAGGGGCAGAGAGAGAGGGAGACACACAGAATCGGAAACAGGCTCCAGGCTCTGAGCCATCAGCCCAGAGCCCGACGCGGGGCTCGAACTCACAGACCGCGAGATCGTGACCTGGCTGAAGTCGGACGCTTAACCGACTGCACCACCCAGGCGCCCCGGCATTCAGATTTTTAAAACAAGATGATGAAAAATACTGTAGTAGCCTCCAGATTCTTGTGAAAATGTTCAGCTGATGCGTGACGATTGTAAACGTTTAAGCTGTGTATGCTGCCTCTTTGGGTCTTAGTTCTGGACAAGCTGGGTTTTGGAAAGGCTTTAACCTTTAAGGAAAACAGCTCTACAGTTCCAGGCTACTAAAACTGAACATTGACAACACTAGTATTGCAAACTGAATATACTAAACACCAAGATGTTATCAGTGGTTATCTTTGGGTGGTAGATTGCTAGCCATTTTTTAATTCTCATTCTTCTTGCATTTTTATTTCTAGATTTTTTTCCATAATGAATGTACTCATTCATTTTCTTACACCTTGAAATAACCATTCGAACTACCTTTTCGTTGTGTAACTAGCACACTGCAGACCCCTTGCTTTCCAGACTTTCCTCTTTCTGTGCTTTCATGTTCCTCAAACTTTTATTTTGTATATCTTGATTTTTCAGTGGTTTCCTTCTAATGGATCAGTAGGGTTGCTCTGTTAAGCCTGCATGCATTCTAAAACGGGGAAATTGAATTTTTCTGTAGTGACTGTTTAATAGTAAATTAACTGGGATGGTTTTGGGGTTGACCAGAGTAAGGAAGGAATGTTTGGATGAAAAGGGGAGATCTTTTTTGACTGGATTTAAAGAATGCATATTCAGGTATAGCTTGAGAATAAAGTGAAAAATAAAATATGAGAGAAACTGACTAAAATGAAAATAGAGATTCATTTTCTAAGAGAAATGTTTCAATTGGCTAATACTGCTTTTAGAATTAAAAGCAGTTTAATTCTGATTTTTTTTGGAATTAAATCTGTCAAGAATTGGATAAATGGTGCTTGTTGAAAAGCAAGCTCTTTCAAGCATTTTATTTTCCACAATTCATTCTGTTTTCCTTTTGCCCCCCTCAGATTTGAAGCATCGACAAATGAATTGATCAATGAAGAATTGGGAATAGCCTATCCAATTATTGATGGGATTCCTAATATGATACCACAGGCAGCTAGGATGACACATCAAAATAAGAAGCAAGAAGAAATGGAGCAGCACTAGATGATAATTAAAAACAACACACACAACTAAATTTTCTTAATACCACTTACCTTTTAAAAAGTCAGACTGGCAGGTAATAAGTGGGGGAGAATAATGTTTCTGTCTCTTCCTACATTGACTGTCCTTATTCCACTGGTCTCTTTAGCAGGACTGTTCTACTCAGCCTCTGTGGAAGAAAACTTCCCACGGGACTGCACTAGCACAGCAAGCCTGTGCTTTTACAGTCTGCTCCTGCCCATTACCATACCAGTTTATGTGTTCTTCCACCTTTGGACTTGGATGGGTATTAAACTCTTCAGGCATAATTAATACAACCAGAGCTAAGATAGTAGATATATTAATGATAGGTCTTGAGTGTGTATTTCTAAAACTTAACTACATGGAAATACTGGAAACCCACTTAATTTGCAGGAAAGGTGCTTTGCCTTGCTTCTCTCAGGTTTAGGACTATGGGAGGCTTAAGCTGCAGAAGTTTCTTTTATTGTACTTTTGTTCTACCCTTGTTTTTTTTGAAAATTTTTATTTATAACTCTTGTATCAGAAGAAATATTTCAACAGTTTCTTGTTGGAAATTAACAATCCCAACCATCACCTGATGACTTTATTTCTTACCCCATTCATCTAAAAGTTAATTAAAATTTTATATGTCTATTTTAGATTTAAAGTATTTGGTAGAGTCACGTGTAAAAGATGACTGAAATAATTCCAAAGCAGCTATGCTGAAGTTGTTGTAGAGAAACACATTTGAGCTCATGTGACAGAAAACTACAATAAAATGGAAATTTCATGTACTTGCAAACATTCTGAGTTTGTAAAGTTACCTTTGTTTCTTTGGCATCAAATGCTTACATTAGGAATAATAAAATAAGATACACTTTTCCATTTAAAAAAGTGCAGTTTTTTGGGGCACCTGGGTGGCGCAGTCGGTTAAGCGTCCGACTTCAGCCAGGTCACGATCTCGCGGTCCGGGAGTTCGAGCCCCGCGTCAGGCTCTGGGTGATGGCTCGGAGCCTGGAGCCTGTTTCCGATTCTGTGTCTCCCTCTCTCTCTGCCCCTCCCCCATTCATGTTCTGTCTCTCTCTGTCCCAAAAATAAATAAAAACGTTGAAAAAAAAATTTTTTTTTTAAAGTGCAGTTTTTTGTTTGATCATAAGTGTGGCTCTAAGAGAGGAAAAATATAAAAATATTCTAAACTTTAAAATATAGTCAGTGTTTAGATAGGCACTTAATACCCCACATAGAATACTATTCCAGGAAAATATAGATCTTTGGAGATAGAGGTAGGGGTGGAAGACTTAGAAATAGATTTTGTGTCCTGTTGGGCTGAGGGCTATGTTTTGAACCACTTTCAGTTTATTTTCCTGCCTTAGGAGATCAGTTTAGCACTGCATTAGTTCAGTGTATTCTGTAGTACAAATCATGTTTTTAAAATCACCTATGGTACTCAACAACAAAAGAGCAGGACCTGCATAGACATTTTTCCAAAGAAGACTTACAGGTGGACAACAGACACACGAAAAAATGCTCAACATCACTAATAGTCGAAGAAATGAAAATTCAAACCACAACGGGATACCACCTGACAGCTGTTAGAATGGCTAAAATAAAAATAGAAGAAATAACAAGTGTTGGCAAAGATGTGTAGAAAAAAGGAACACTTGTGCACTGTTGGTGGGAGTATAGATTGGTGCAGTCACTATGAAAAACAGTATAGAGGTTCCTCAAAAAGTTGTATGGTCCAGTAATTCCAGTACTGGGTATTTACCCAAAGAAAAACACTTATTTGAAAGAATATATGCACCCCAATTTATTGAAGCATTATTTACAATACTGAGATCTGGAAGCAGTGTAAGTTCAATGGATGAGATGTGGCATATATATGGGGCCAGAGGGAAGAGAGGCTTAGAAGACAAGTTGACCAAAGTAAAGCAGTTTTGGTTTTAGGCTGACCCTTAACCTAAAAGCAGGACATAAAATGTCACAAGATCCAACTGGACGACCACAAAACACCACTCCTGATGGTAATCAAAGCTACAAAGATGGTCTTCCTTAAAATTGCTTCCTTGTGGGTTATCCTACAACTCTTAAGACCATGGAAAAATGAACTGCTCAATGTGAATAAGAAACCCAGTTAAAGAGTAATCCCTTCCCTATAAATGGTTAGTTAATGAAACAAAAACTTCTAAAACCCTTAGAGGCAAAAGGGGATCCTCTTCCTCTCCTGGGAGGAGACTGCTACTTTGTCTATGAAGTAGCTCCTTTCTTATATACTTAATCTTTGTCCCGTTGTCTAAATGGCTTGCTCTTGAAATCTTTCTCACACAAAGTCAAGAACCCTCTTAGTGAGGGGCCTGAGGTCCTCTTTCTTGGGTCCTCAGCCTGACTGGTATCACAAATATAATGGAATATTATTCATGTAAAATAGAATGAGTTCTTGCCAGTTGTAACAGCATAGATGGACCTTGAGGGTATTCTGCTAAGTGAAATAAGTCAAAGGCAAATACCATATGATGTCATTTACATGTGGAATCCAAAAATCAAAAAGCAGAAATAGACATACAGAGAACAAACTGATGGTTGCCAAAGGGGAGTGGTGGGGGGAATGGGCAAAATAGATGGAGAGTGGGAGGTACAGGCCTCCATGTATGGAATAGGTCATGAGAATAAAAGGTATAGCATAGGGAATATAGTCAACAATGGTATTGTAATAGTATAGCGACTGATGGTAGCTATATTTGTTGTGACCTTAGCATAATGTAGAGAGCTGTCCAGTCACTAAGTATACACCTGAAACCAATGTAACATTGTGTGCCAACAATACTTAAAAAATTAAAATTAGGGGCACCTGGGTGGCTCAGTCGGTTAAGCGTCCGGCTTCAGCTCGGGTCGTGACGGTTTGTGGGTTCGAGCCCCGCATCGGGCTCTGTGCTGACAGCTCGCAGCCTGCAGCCTGCTTCGGATTCTGTGTCTCCCTGTCTCTCTGCCCCTCCCCTGCTCATGCTCTGTCTCTCTGTCTCTCAAAAATAAATATTAAAAAAAAAAAATTAAAAAAAATCTTAAAAAAAAATTAAATCACCATACAGCAATATACAAATAACCTGGAAGATTATAGAAGTTCCAGTTATTTCTGATCAAGAGTTCTTGTTCTTTTTAATTAGCCCTAAATCTTACTGTTGTCAATGTAAATGGAACAATTTTACTGATAAAGCAAGCACTATACTCTGAAAAGTCAACTTCAGCTTTTGCAAGTTAAGCATTTTATAATTTTTGAGGAAACTGATAAGCATACCCTGGGGGAGTTCAGTATTAACTCCATTCTTTCGCTAATAGAATTTCTTTGGCAACCACTTGTATAGTACAAACTATACACTAGGTACAGCTCTAAGTATATATAATCTTTTATAATCTAAGAGGTAAGGTGAGTAATACTGGCACCATTCTACAGATGTGGAAACTGAAGCAGAGAGATTGATGTGATTTGCCCAAGGTAACAGCAATAACTGAACCAAAGTTGAACCCTCTGCTACTGTGGCTTCAGATACACAGTATCTACTTTAAAATAAAATAAAATCCTTTCTATTTGTAAGAAAAATACAATTAGGAATCAAAATGCTTGGATTCAAATTCTTACTCAAGCCTTTGCCTTTCTTGTTTCCTAAAGCACCATATATTTTATCTCTATTTTAGCACTTGAACTTGTAATTGCCTGTTTTGTGTCTCCTGTCTAGACAGTAACTGTTCAACATTTTAAATTTAATGCTTAGCACAGAATATGCATGCACTTCCTGAAAGACTGAAAACATGGTTCTGACAAGCTTTATAATTTTAGGCAAGTTACTTGTCTCTGAACTTCATCTGTAGGGCTAGAAATCCTTCCCCTGCTTTCATAAAATTTGCTAGGAACAAACCAAACTTTACACATGAAAGCCCTTTGTGAAACAACCCTAACTGGTGAACAACACAACCAGGCAAAGTCTCTGGAAATTGTCCCAAGGGCATTCAGCCTAATGAGGAAACATACAAGAAAATCTCATTAACTGCTGCCAGCACATTGAAGTTTGTTGCATTTGAACCACCACCCCACATCTTCCTCCTCTCAGCTCAGAGTGATGGCCACTCCAGGAGGGCTCCACCAAGATAGGAACCTCTCTTCCCCCCAAAACTCCTGGTTGAGTGTTAAGGCATCTTCCCAGGAGGTGCAGGCCATCAGCTGAGTAAAGGTAATTATGTAACTATAAAAGACAGTGTAATGCAGATTTCCTCTTTCTGCTTAACTGATTTGCAGAGCAATTATAGAAAACAATATGTATAAATTGTATTTTGGGGTCTGTCATATTTGCTATTAGCACAAAGGAAGTAGCTGGGAACAAAGCTGAACTGGAGTACAGAAATGACACCAGATGGTAACTTGAATTCACAGGAACTAATGAAAAGAACCAGAGAAAATAAAAAAGGTTAATATACTTAATTCTACAAATATATCCTTGTTCTTTCTTCTCTGTTCCTTTTAAGAGGCATTAAATTATGTAAAGTAATCATTATAACCAAGTATTGTTGTTTGTAACATGCAGACCTACTATGCATGACAATAGTCCAAAAAGGGAGAAAAAAGGAAGAGCTATCTACCTGTAATGTTTTTGTATTTCACTAGCACTCTTACCAACAGATCTGCATACATGTCAATTACATCTCAATAAAAAAAATACCATAGGAAACAAAAACAAAAACATCTGCTGCAGATTTTAAGTATTTCTCAGGCCCTCAAACACTGCAGGTGAGAATATAAAATGATGCAGCTTCTCTGGAAAACAGTTGACAGTCCCTCAGAAAATTAAACACAGAGTTACCACACAACCCAGCAGTTCCACTCCTAGGTGTCTGTCTACTCAAAGGAAAGGAAAACATGGCCACACAAACTTTAGCACAAATGTTCATAGCATCATTCATAATAGCCAAAAAGTGGAAAACAACACAAATGTCCATCGATTGATGAATGGATAAATAAAATACGGTACAA